GTCTTATTCCTTTTAAAAAATATTCTTATTGATTTTAGAGAGGAAAGGAGAGGGAGAGATGGATAGAAACATCAATGATGAGAGAGAATCATTGATCGGCTGCCTCCTGCATGCACCCTACTGGGGATCGAGCTGGCAACACTGACCAGAAATTGAACCGTGACCTCCTGGTTCATAGGTCAATGCTCAGCCACTGAGCCACACCAGCCAGGCTATAGTTGTTTTATTCCTAACTATAAGGCAACTGATTCTAATGTCCCAACATTAAATCTGATATTTGCCAAAAGACTTTCTGTAATCTATGCCTTAAGTTTTGCTGAAAACTTTATCAAGTTCAAGAAGCTCCCTTCTATACCTAATTTTTTAAAATCATAAATGGGTGTTGAATTTTTCAGAGGTCTATTATTTCAGAGGTCTTTTAGGTGAGTGCCAAAGAACTGAATTTCTAACAAGTTCTCAGTTGATGCTGATGCCACCTGTTCAGGGAACACACTTCGAGACATAGGAGTGTAGAACAAGAACAATGAGTTAAAGGCACATTCTGAGAAACATTTAAGGAGTAGATGGGAGTAAGAAAAACTCCAATAGAAACATAACAGCAGCAGAACATTACGAGGAGAACTAAAGGAAAGTAGTGTCACAGAAGCCAAGTAGAGAAAACGTTGAGCACAAAATGTTTTAAGGAACAAGATTATTAAGTGCAAAGAGGTTCAGAAAAATAGACAGCTTCAAATGCCCAGTGGATTTGGTGACTGGGAAGTCACCTTACTGAGCATTGTTTTGGAAAAATAGTGAAGGTAAAGCAATAGATTCCTTTGATGAATATTTATTGAGTGCCTCCTTAAAAAAGGCAGTGTTGCCAAGGAGACAACACTGAGTCAGTGAAAGAAGCTGAGGAAGGGAACATGTCATTGGAGACATTTGTGTGAGGCAGAGAAAGATCAGATGATAGCTGGAGAGGAACAAAGGGTTCATGGGGGGTTTGGAGTTCTGCTGTTAAGATTCAGAAGACACCATATTTATAAGCTGAGGGGAAGTTCCAGTACACAAAGAGATAAAGGTGAAGAGGAAAGACAGGATGGACTCATGGTGACGGTGATCAAGTAACGCCCCACACTCAATTAACTGGATGTTGTCTAAGGTAACTTTCAACTCTGTGAAAGGCACTGTACTTCTGGATGTACAGAGTCCCTTGCTTATACGATACATTGTACCTTTGCATCAATGAATATCTTCTTCTTTGAGTGTATTCTGGTTTTAAATTATAAATGTTAGTGCACATATATATTACAGAAGATAGAATTTAAGAAAATAAAATAAATAATACACTAGAGTCAACAGACTAGGGTTGAGATCCATCTCTAGCACTTAGTGCAAATCTCTGTGCCTCACTTTCCTCACCTGTAAATGGTGATAACAGTACCTAGTACCTGGCAAACACAGTAAAAATACAATAAATGTAGTGTTATTGACTAGGAATGCGGTACGTAGTGAGAACATGAGATTAATCTGATTTATCAAGGTTGGTAAAGTTAGAATGATAAATGGTAACATTTAATGTCCTCAGAGCCCTTTACCTGGGTTACTTTTGATTACTCATTGGCTGTCATCACCGGTGGGAAATCAGTACTTCCTGTCTTATTTGAGGATGGTTTTCTAGCTCCCTGTGGCCTCCGGCGGATACAAGAAGGTAGGTCTACTCTAGAAGGAGTGCAGCACCCTCTTGTGGGCCTCTGCATGGAAAGAGGAACTATTTCCAGAGAAGTTAGAAAAGGAACAAGATTGAATGAGTCCCCAGGGTGTAGAATGCCCTTGACCTTGACTTGTTATTTTTTTAAATGTTCATTCTTCAAATCTTCTGGGCAAACTATATTTTTTATAAATCCAATACAATTGCTGCCAATGCATCCCAGAAGCTCCCTACTTAAAGGCCTTCTTCCTCCTGGGCGTCAGCACCACATCCACACCTCAGCGCGGTAACTTTGATTTTATTGTGCCACAGTTTGAGCATGGCCTCCAGGAATACTTCTCAGACTAGAGATCCCAGGACCCTCCGGGATTTAGTCAGCCGATCTACACAACTTTGGTGGTAAATTGGAAACACAGCAGCCTGACGCCGACTTCGGCCGCCTCTTTGCCTTCACTCGCTCCCAGCTTCAGGGTCAAGAAAGATGAATTGCATCAGCCAAGGAGTTGGCACTTCTTTCTTGAGTCTCAGTTCTGGCATGTGGGGTCCCTGTCAACTCTGAGCTGTGCTTTCCTCTTATATTTCACCCTCCCTGGCCATGGCCCAGCTCCTCTAGGGATTCACCACGTGAAGAGTTAGGGCGGGAACAACAAATACTGCTTGCCTACCACGTTCCAGGCACAGTGGAGAGACAATTGGGAGCGAAGACATGGCTTCTGCCCTCTGGCAGCCGACAGCCAAGGAGGGAGAGAGACAGATATTTGCTTGATTGGTCATTAACATGCAACCGGAAAGCCTGAGAAGCGCTCCAGAAAAATGTAGCTTGCAGACGTCATGATGCACTTGTCCGCTTTGTAGTCATCATTATCCTTCCGTTTTTCTGCCTTGTCCACCATTTTATTTACGGGCATACGATAAGAGCTTCACATGTATTTGAACGTTAACGAAAAGAGGAACAATTTCCAGGTGAATTCTTGGTCACAGCGGATTTGCAAGAAACGTTCTCGTGAGTGAATGGAGTTGGCCAAATCTTCTAGGTCCGCGGTTCTCAACCTGTGGGTCGCGACCCCTTTGGCGGTCGCCTAAGATCATCCTGCAAATCAGATATTTACATGACGATTCATAACAGTAGCAACATGACAGTTATGAAGTAGCAACGAAAATAACTTTATGGTTGGGTCCCAACATGAGGAGCTGTATTTAAAGGGCCAGAAGGTTGAGAACCACTGTTCTAGATGTTTCTCCAAGGGTGCGGGTCCGCCCAGTTCTGTGCGGGAGTAAGACACTCAGCCATCTGGATTTCAGTTCAACACGAGAGAGCCCCTGTGACCTCCTTCTAGCTGTTACCATCTCTTGGAACCTCATGAAACAAAGTAATGCCTGTCCGGGGTGAAAAAAATTACTTTTTTTCAATTTGCCAGGTAAAATGGAAAAATTACACATTTTCAATCGTCAAACGGTGAGAAGTGCTTGATACATAGTGTCGGGAAGCTTTAGATCCTTCCTGCGGCTTCCATTTTCAGGGGAAACAGCCCCAGTTCCTGAAACGATTTCTGTGTAACACGGCCAGTTCCTCCGTGAGCTGGTTTCACCCCCGCCCAGGCCCCAGCCGGGAAGGGGGCGCGCGGGGTGGGGGTGGGGGCTTCTCATATGTGGGGACCACTGAAGCCTTTTTGCACGGAGCACCTCAAACTGGAAGGGAGGAGGGGACACCTCGGAGCACAGGGGGACAGCGGGGCCTTTCGGGGGGTGAGGATGGCAGTGACAGGAAGCCTCGGGAAAGGGGGCGGGGGGCAAAGACGCGCCACTTTCCAGGAAGGAGGAACCATCCTGGGGACCTTGGAGGAAGCGGTCTGACCTGCGGTCCCCGTGGGGAGAGATAAAGTCACGGGAGGGGACCCCTCAGGAAGGGGACTGAGACCAGGGTCCCCTTGGGAAGGGCTGTCCACGCCGAAGGAAGTGGGGGCGACTCTGACGTCACTCTCAGGAGGAAGAACCGATGGAGGGAGAGAGGACGCCGGGGTCCTTCCTGGGAAAGGTGGGCGTCTCAGGTGTCACTCTCAGGAAAGGGGGCGGCGTCCGGCGTTACCCTCAAGAAGGGGGAGGGATGACGCCAGGGTACTCTGAGGACAGGGGGGTGACGCTGGGGTCCCTCTAAGAAAGTGGAACCGACGTTGGGGTCACTCTCCGGAAGGGAGTGACGCCTGACAGCCGGTCCCCTCCGCCGCCGCAGGTGTTCGTCTCACCTGCTTCCGTCCGCGCCCCTCCGCTCGCAGAGCCCTCGGGTTCCGAAGGCGAAACGGCCCGCCCCTCGCGGTCCAGCCAATCGTGTCGCGGGAAAATCTCCCGCCGGCCTCGCCACGCCTCCTTCCCGGTTTGCGCGTGCGCGACTTTCTGTCCTGCTGCAGTGCCTTAGCGCTGCTCTAGGGGCGCTCGGCGCTCGGGAACGAGCTCCCGCAGATCGGGTGCCCTGTCCATGACCCATTTTATAATAACAACACTATCTACTTTATAGGCTCTTGTGAGAATTAAGTGCAATAATTTACGTAAAACAAACAGTACATAGTAATCGCCTGGAAAACCTGGGCTGTTATTATTTGCATTTTACAACGAGGGAAACAGGCACAGAGCCGGTAAGTAACCCGCTCAGACTAACCCAATCATTAACTGGCAGAGTCGGAACTAGAACCCCGGCAAGCTGAATCCAGAGCCCGTGTGCTTATCTACCAGGCCTTTGTGGTTCCCAGGTAACAACGACCAGCTTTTATTTCTTCTGATTATGAAATAACTTTCCCCTGGATTATAAAAATACTTAAAACACGCTCACTGCTAAGATTACAGAACAGAAAGCACAGATCTCTTTTAATCCTCCCATTGGCGAACTGTTAATATTTTGATGGACAAGCTGCCTTTTCTATGCACATATTTTTTAGTAGGATCATATATAAGGGAGAATCTTTTGAAACCTGCCCTTCTCACGTTAAACATCTTGTCATTTCAATGTAGACTCACCTTATTGTTTAATCCTCACCCCAGGATATTTTTCCATTGCATTTTAGAGGGAGTGGAAGGAAGGAAGGGAAGGAGAGAGAAAGAGAGAGAGAGAGAGAGAGAGAGAGAGAGAGAGAGAGAGAGAGAGACCAGGTACGTGCCCTTGACTGGGAATCGAACCCTCAACCCTTCAGGGACAGGCTGACATGCTAACTACTGAGAAACACAGGCCAGCACTTACCTATTGTTCTTAATGGCTGCATATTATTCCATTGTGCCGGCAAAGCATACTTTAATGACTCCCTAGGTTGGACATCTGGGTCTTTAATAATTCTTCAATATTCTGACCAATACCAGAGTGGGCCTTTTGTACCCGCATCTTATGGTTTTCATCCAACTGTTTCTTTAGGATAAGTACTTTTAAAACTGCAATGGCTGGATCAAAATGCATGCACAGTTGTTATGTTTTTTATAAATATTGACAGATCACTTCTGGAAAGTTCTCTGTGTCAACTTCCATTAGCACTAACGAGCTATAAAAGTGCTTTGCCCACCCCAGAACGGTTTATATATTCATTATTTGCCAATATATAAAAAAAGGAACTACAGTGCTTTTCATTTGCACTTCCCTATAGTTTTATGCTGTGAAAGAGGGAAAAATATTACCCACATCTCAAGATTTTGTGCGTGTGAAATAAAATAGCGGTAATAATATAAAAGTATCACGGAGCTATCATTGTGGAACAGTCGCCAGGTAAAGTGAGATCCTGGCCTTATTTCCCTGTATTTTCCCAACATTGTGAAATCCTTTCATGGCCTCAGTTTCCTCTTCTGCAAAATAGAGCCTATGAGAGTACACACCTCCAGGATTGCTGGAGAGTGAATAAAACAATCCTCCGAATGAGATCAGAGCCCTGGAAAGGCTGGGAGAGGCGGAGCTGTTTGCTTAAGACTCTGCAGCCTGCCAGCGGCTGGTGTCAACTTCAGAGAATAAACTGACTCCACCCCTTGTCCCGTTTACCCAGCCCTATTCAGATTACAAGGCCTCCCTGCCCTTGGCCATCGTCGCCCCGAGGAAAGCTGAACTACCCATCAGGAGGGCTGTAAAGAGCCAGTGATGGTCACATGCCACCTCTGCCCTTTGACCAACACTCTCAGCCTGTCAACTTTGTCCGACACTGGAGACATTTGGGACATCACGCCTGCCCTTTCACTCTGGGGGAGACCGAGGCCTGGAGGAAGAAGGCTGCCGGGCCCACCTGGCCATCCCCTGCAACCGGGGGTGAGTATTGTTGCCCCCGACCCCCATCCTGATACCCTTTCCCCGACTCTGCCTCCCTTGGAAACACCCTTGGGGAAACAGCTGGTCTCCTCTCTGCTTCTTGCACAAAGTTCAGATTCTCTGGAAACTTCTCGCTAGTTTTCCAGCGTTGCTGCTCCACTCTGGGTCCAGGCTGCCTCCACTCCTCTGGGCCAGGACATCTACTGTGAATCTTTAAACCGCAGTCAAGCATACAAACCTTGATGCGCTAAATCCTCCACATCCCTCTCAGATGTAAGTCCCTGAACTGTGCAGTCTGATACAGTAGCCATTGGCTACATGTGACTATTTAATGTAAAGGAAAATTAAAACTCGTTTCTCAGTTGCACTAGCGATATTTCTTTTTAAAAAAATATATTTTATTGATTTTTCACAGAGAGGAAGAGAGAGGGATAGAGAGTTAGAAACATCGATAAGAGAGAAACATCGATCAGCTGCCTCTTGCACACCTCCCACTGGGGATGTGCCCGCAACCAAGGTACATGCCCTTGGCCGAAATCAAACCTGGGGCCTTTCAGTCCGCAGGCTGAGGCTCTATCCACTGAGCCAAACCGGTCAGGGCTGCACTAGTGATATTTCAAGTGCTTAATAGCCACATGGGGCTAGTGGCTGCTATGCTGATAGGGCAGACATAGAACGTTCCCATGCTAGAAAGTTTCAGCTGGACAGCGCTGCTCAAGACTGACTCCATGAGTCTGAGATTTTTATCCCATTTTACAGATGAGACAACTGAGGTCAGAGAGATCATACCTGAGGCACATAGCGAGAGCTGGGGTCCAAACTGGTCTCTGGTGCTCGTGATGGATGGCAGAGCAGGTGTCAGCTTTTCCTTCGATTCAAAGAAGCTGCCCTCATTTTGTTTCAAAACACACAAGCTGTAATATATACATCTACTGATCCCATGGTGCTTAACCACTCAGTGTGTGTGTGTGTGTGTGTGTGTGTGTGTGTGTGTGTGTGTATTTGCTTATTATATCCCAGAGGCAGCCAGTATTCTAATCCAAAAGCCCACATCACAAACACTTCCCCTATCCATATCTCTATCTACCTGGGAAGTTTTGTTCTTTAGCATAATGAATGTCAGCACCGCTTGTGATTTTGTTGTTTAAGATTTTTCAGAGAAGAGAGGAAGGGAGAGGAAGAGAAAGAGAAATATAGATGTGAGAGTGAAACATCGATCAACCTGGGCATATGCCCTGACTGGGAATTGAACCAGCAACCTTTAGGTACATGAGACAATGCAGCACCATTGAATAGGTGAAATTGGGGGCTCATTAATTAGCCTGATAAAGGTGGGAAAAGGGGGCTCCCATGGGTGGAATTAATAGTATTAAAATATGTGGATTGGTTAAAATATGAGGTGCACTCCCTAACCTTGTATGAACAAATTAGAAAACAGTTTATAACCCAAGCCTGTTCTTTGTCCAGTCATTAATTTGGAGGAATCTGCTTGCCTGATTCCCATAAGACTAACAGGCCCAAAGCAATACAGAATCCTGCCTTAAAATTGTTCAGGTTTGTTCCTTGGTTTTGTTTTCATGCAACATGAAGGTTGCAACACCAACATGGACAGAATGCTGGGAATTCATGGGATTTACAGGTGTCGATGCTCTTGTGCTTGCTAATCAAGTTTAACGTCTACACGGCAGAATTTGCCCCGAAACCTTTTATCATGACCTGGCAGCCAGAAGGTGTCAATCATGGTGAAGGTGTCAATCAGGCCTCCTGGAGGCTTCCAGGGGTGATTTGAGATTCCAGAAGAACCCAAGAGTCGTGTCAGACATGTTCTGTGTGGCGGAAGCGAGGTCACCTGGGTCTGCTGGCTTCCAAAGACGGCCTGGTCTCAACCTCCGTTTTACAATCTGGAGTTCCCTGTGCCAGGCCCTAGCCCATGCCTGGAAGCTGCTTTCCGCCAAGCTCCCTGCAACCCCCTCAAGTTCTATGTCCTTGGGGAGGGATAGGGTCAGAGCCCCCTTCCCCTCACCTCCCGCCCCAGGCAGGCAGTGCTGGAGAGGCGCACCTCAAGGACCAGGTGGGAAAGAAAGCCACATTAGCCAGGAAGATCGGTGAAAGCCTCGGTTTAATTGGAGACAAGATCGAAAGATTATCGATCAATGGACTGATTGATTGACCATCAAAGTGGATAAACTGGAGTACCTCCCGGGGGACTTGTGCACCCCCCATGGAGAGAGGAGCCCTGATTGGGGGTGGGATGGTCCATCTCAACTGTTGCCAGTCGAGCCCAGCCCTGGGCAGGGGGAGGGACAGGCTCTGCCCAGCCCTTACCCCCTGGATGAACCGACTCCCCATCAAACAGCGCCGAGCCCACCCTTTTGGGGTCTATGGTACAGTTGATATAATACAACAGGAATAGGAATTCTCCCTCTTGGGAGATCCCCACCCTTCCTTCCCTGACTGGGTCAGCCGGGGAAGGGCACATTTATTTTCCCTTTTTGCCTCTGTAGAATAAATTTACAAACCAACCTTACAGTATGTACAAAGAAAAAGGAAGAGAGGAAAACAAGAAAACAAACAAAAAAAGGCCCACTCCGGTTGCCGGCTAGGACAGAAACTACTTTCGCTACAAAAATGAACCCTGTACAGTATCATGAGGGTGGGAGAGGGTAGTACTCCCCAGTGGGATAGACAGACGGATGGAAGGCTGCGGGGGGGGGGGGGGGGGGGCTACAGTACCATGTGCTCAGAATTGAAGGGGTGGGGGCAGTGAGAGAAGCCCCACCCCACCCATCTACAGAACCAGGCCACGAGGAGTAGGGGCAAGGGAAGAGGGGGTCCTTCCTTCCAAACAGTCCCCCATGGCTTGGAGAGAAATGGCCTTGCATCTGTCTGTCATATTGCTTGGGGAATAGTTAAGGGAGAGGGCGCGGCTTGGCAAGGCGGAACAAAGGAGAAATGACTTTGGTGCCAGGGTAGGGAAGGAGGCCCAGAAAGGGAATGTGGGTGTACACCATTATTGCTTCCTCCTAGGGCAAAGGGTCAGGGAGGCGGGCAGGAGGATGCTGGGGGGATGCCTAGGATGGGGCTCTGGGTCTGGCCCCGCCCCACCCAAGATGCAAGTGGGAGCCACTGCAACCCTCTCCTATGGCCATGAGAATCATTAAGGCAGAAACAAGAGGAGAAGCAGCTGGAAGAAGGGGGTGCAGCTTGGAGCTGTCCCCCAAAATGGAGAAAAGTCAAACGGAACCCAAAGTGGAAGGGGACAGGGGTGGCAAGTGGATCAGGCCCTCCTCAGAGCGCAGACCCCAGGCCGGTGGTGCAAATGTCCCCCTCACACCTTCCCCTCCCAGCATCCTAAGTTGTACAGCATCCCCAAGCCTGTCCCCGAGTCAATATTGCCAGGTTTGTGCAAAATGAGGTGGAAGACTTGGCGGGGAGGCAGTGAGCCTGAGAGGGGCTGGAGCTGGGGCCTCTCACAGTGACCCGCCCCACTGGGCCCCTGCCCAGAATGGCTATTCCCTGGCTGGATTCTAGAAACCCTCCAAATTTAGGAAGAGCCTGGAAGGAGACCTTACGCCTGCTTGGGCTCAGGTGGAGAGCCCACAGAGGCTGGAAGACTGAGCCTGGGGCCTGGGAGGGGTGTGGGGTGGGGTTGGAGACGGACGGGGTGGGGGGGGGGGGGGAGCCGGGAACAGGAGCATCTACAGTTGCTGTGTTTCATCCTGTTTGTTTTTTTTCCCTGTTTTTTTTTTTTTTTCTAAAAATGTAACAATGAAAATTCCAAAAATAAAACCCCTTCCAGAACCTCAGCCCCTCCTTCCCCAGGCCCCACCTCCAAAATGTGCCCCCTGGGTTGGGTTGGGGGTGGGGGGGAAAGGGGAAAAAAAGAAAAGAGAAAAAAACCCCACTTTTCTGTTTTCTTTTTTCTCAGGAGGCCGAAGAGTCTTTGAGGCAGTGAAGGAGGCAGTCGGGGGACGATGGTGGTGAAAGGAGGCAGGAAGGGTAAGAGGGTGTAGAGGCTGAGGCTCAGGTAGGGCCTCCAGCAGACCCCCACCCACCAGGGGCTGGGAGTGTGTGTGGGTCCTCGCCCAATGTCCCAGTGCAGGCACAGCACGCCCTCTTGGCAGCCTGATGCTCTTTCTGGGCCCCCACCTCGGCTGCCATGGAGGGGAGGCCCAGGAGGCCCGGGGCAGCCTCTGGAGTGGGTGGGGTCCTCAAGGCAGGCAGAGCGGGCCTCTCCGGAGACAGGGCGTGGGGGCTGCTGCAGCCCATGGCATCCACCGACGCATCTGGGGATGCGGACTCGTCCTGGCCCACAGGCACACTGTCTGCTGGCTGTGCCAAGGGCATTTCCTCTCCGTCCACCTCGGTGGATGCGTCTTGGCCATCGACATCCAACGGTTCCTCCGCTGGGGATGCATGCTGAGCCATGAATAATTCCTGCACCTCAACTGCACCCAGGGCAGAGGACGCCGCCTCCTCCTCCTCTTCATCCAGCGTCAGCTCGAACTGGAACTTATCAGGGGGCGTTGGGTGGTCCGGCCCCTCCGGCTCCTCCTCGAGCGGCGGCGACGGGCTCTGCCGCATGGCGCTGTAGTACCAGTCCCGGTTGTCTTCCAGGGTGTCTAGGATCTCCTGGGCGTCCGGGTGGACCAAGTCGGCCCATGTCTCCCACAGCGGGTGCACAATATAGTCGATGAACCCCACCTGGGGAAGGGAGAAGAAGGATGAACCTGTGGCCGCAGTGGTAAAGACGGCCCCGCCATGCTGAGGGATCTAATAAAAGTTAAATGTTGATACCATGTGACCCAGCAATCTTGCTTTTCCAAATCCACCCTGGAAAAATTCTTGCATAAATAACAAAAAAGAACCATATGAGATATAAACAAAAACTGGGAACACCTCCATATGTACATCAGTTGGGGATTTTTTTTTTTTTAAAGAAGCTATTTTAGGGAGTCATTGTTTATTTTTATTTATTTATTTAAAATATATTTTATTGATTTTTTACAGAGAGGAAGGGAGAGGGATAGAGAGTTAGAAACATTGATGAGAGAGAAACATCGATCAGCTGCCTCCTGCACACCCCCTACTAGGGATGCGCCTGCAGCCAAGGTACATGCCCTTGATCGGAATCGAACCCGGGACCCTTCAGTCCGCAGGCCGACGCTCTATCCACTGAGCCAAACCAGTCAGGGCGGGGTTTTTTTTTTTAATGTGGTACCCACAGATATTCATAATGGCATTTTTTGCAACAAAGAAAAACTGGAAATAACTTCATTGCAGGCTGAGACTAATATCATCTTCCCTACTTTTAATGGATTATTTTTCTTGGGGGACACAATGCTTCCACTGAAAACTACATTTCCCAGTCTCCCTTGCAAAGAGAGGGTGTCGACAGCATCTGTGATCATGAGAGGCATCGCTGAGGATTGAAGCCCCATTCTTTCAATGGCAGAAGAGAAACACTGAAAGCTCCAGGTACCTGCCAATTTTGTGGAGCCATAGAGAGCCAAATTCTCTTTCTCTAGACTTTCCTTGTATAAAAGAAAAAAGAAAGCTTTGTTTTGTTTGACTCACTGTGAATTTCTAACTCCTAAACACTTAAATGTCTATCAGCAGGGAAATGACCACACAAACCTTTATCAACATACATCTATGGGAATACTATACAGTAGTGAAAAGGGGTGGGCTAAATCTGTTTGTAATAGCTTGGACAGATTTCCAAGTCATTGTTAAGAAGAAAAGGAAAGCTGTATAAAATGGGTATATATTGATATAATTTATCTTTTTCAAAAAGCTAAACCCACGAACCACTGCTGGTAAGTTGCCTGTTAAAATCTATATATATAAAAGCCTAAGCAACCGTTCAACCATTCTACCGGTAGCTATGACGCACACTGACCACCAGGGGGCAGACGCTCAACACACAGACATGGAAACATGGAACAGATTGATGAATCTCAGAGGGAAGGGGGAGGGGGGAGGATGGAAAGAGATTAACCAAAGATCTTATATACATACTAGAGGCCCAGTGCACAGATTTGTGCACCAGTGGGGTCCCTCGGCCTGGCCTGCAGGAATCGGGCCAAAATCAGCTCTCTGACATCCCCCAAGGGGTCCTGGATTGCGAGAGGGCGCAGGCCAGGCCGAGGGACCCCACCAGTGCACGAATCCGTGCACCAGGCCTCTAGTAACTACATAAAAAAGCTATGAAACTGGCTTTCATCAAGGATGGGCATGATTTGCAGGCCCAGGAGACATTTGAAAATGTCTGGAGACATTTTTGACTGTTATGCCTAGAAAGGGGAGGGTGTTCCTGGCATCTAGTGGGTGAAGGCCAAGGAAGCTGCTCAACACCATACGATGCACAGGACACCCCCACCACAGAGAATGACCTGGTCCCAACTGCCAACACAGCCAAGCTGGGTAATCCTAGTCTAGAAGGGCACACACACCGAACTGGAAAAGGTGGGTCTCACTGGGAGGAGACTAGACGTGGGGAGGGTGAGAACCTCTTACATTCACACCTAAGTGCTGAGTTTTGATGAGAGAGCACTCCTGTCCCTCTTGTTAAATTAATCAGCACATGTAGACAAGTCAGTGCATCTTATTTCAAAATCCTCTAAAAGTCGGGGACCGTATCACTGGCCAAGTTAGGATATCAGAAACAGGCTGAATCAGCATAAGGCCTGTAACTAAGGGCCAGCTAAGTATTACTGATCCTATGGCAGTTGCTGCAAATGAGTTAGAACTGTCTGAGGATGTGTGTGCCAGAGGCTCAGTCTGGTTGTTCTGTGGAGGAGAAAGTGCTGCGTATTTCCCATCAAGATAGAAAAGAATGCCCTGCCAGCATGGCTCCGTGGTTGGGCGTTGACATATGAATCAGGAGGTCATGGTTCAATTCCCGGCTCGGGCTGCTGGCTGGATCCCTAGTGTGGGGTTTGCAGCCAATCAATGAATCTCTCTCATCATTGATGTTTCTCTCTCTCTCCCTCTCCTTTCCTCTCTGAAATCAGTACAAATATATATTAAAAAACAAACAAACATCGTAAGAAAAAGAACAAAGACTTGAAGTTGTGGAGGAGCAGGTCAGGACCTTCTGGGCCTGAAGCTCCAGGCGGATGGGGGGAGGCCGGTGCCCTGCACTGTACCTGAGACTTCTCCACCGAGGCTGTGTGCTTGTCGCACATGGGGCTGATCTCCATGCCGCGCTCCCGCTCGCGGTCGCCCTGCTGGAAGAACTCGGCCATGATGCGGTCTGTCCACTGGCGGTACAGGTCCAGCGGCTTGGTGGGGTTGCTGAGGTCCGCACAGTGCACCATGTTCCTCAGGACCTGCACGGGGCACGGGACCTTCAGAGGCCATGCTCCTCCTGACCCAGTGGGAGGCTTCGGGCTTCCTTACCTTCCCCCATAGCGGGGAGAGTGGGTAAGGGGAAGATGCAGAGAGACAGAGCAATAAAGAGGACGATGAGTGGGGGAAGGAGGGAGGAGATAAGAAGGGGTTAATGGAGGAAAGGGCAGAGGGAAGGAGGAAAATGGAGGGAGGGAGGTGTGGGGGAGATGGAGAGAGGTAGGGGAAATGGGGGAGAGGGGAGGGGAAGGTGGGGGAGAGGAGAAGATGGGGGCAGGGAGGGGCAGGGAGGCGTTGATGAAGGGAAGAAAGAATTGGGGGAGATGGTAGGAAGTGGGGGGAGGTGGGAAGGGAGGTGGGGATTGGAAGGGGAAGATGGGAGGGGAAAGAGAAAAGCAGACAGGAAGATGGGCAAGAAGAGAGCTGGAGAGCAGCCCAGATCTGAAGGGTGGAGGGGAGGGGACCAGTCTTCTTCTATGATGTGTGAAGGGGGCACCTGGATGCGGTCGGAGTAGTTGTCCAGCAGAAGGACCCCTGAGCTGGTCACTTTCTTGGTTTCTACCATGGTCTTCAGGTCAGCTAGGAGGGTCATGTGCTTGGACATGTCGGTGGCCAGCACCTGTGGACAAGGGGGCTGTCACAGGGGCCACTGGATCTCCCCACCAGACCGCTGTGCGGGCCGGAGCTTCTCAAGTTTTCACTGGGCACAACCTGTCCCCACAGGTCCCGCCAAAAGACTCCCCCGCCCCCACCAGGGGCCATTGGGTCTCAAACTCAGACCTTCCCATGGTGCCACCCCTCAAAGCCGACCTTTCCTGGTCTGCCCCCGCCCCGCCCACCATGTCGATGACCATCTTGCGCAGGCTCTGCCGCTGGCGTTTGCTGAGGTTCTGGAAGATGTCACAGTTGTCCTGCTGCAGCAGCTTGAAACCCACGGCCAGGTGGTGGTTCTCCAGCACCGACTCGTCATTGTACATGAGCGCCAGCTCCGAATCTGCCCAGGCGGGGCGGGAGGTCAGGGGGAGAGAGCGCGCACAGGTGGGCCTGCCCACCTCCACTCCAACCCACCCGCCCACCTCCACTCCAACCCACCCGCCCACCTCCACTCCAACCCACCCGCCCACCTCCACTCCAACAGGCTCTCCCCCCTCCCCCCCTCGTGGAGGGGCGCTCACTGGTGTTGATGAGGAACTGGTTGGAGACCCCGGGGTGGTCCACGTCGTGTATGGCAGCCGCGAAGAGGGCTGCGAGGATCTCCAGGTCTGTGAATACAGCCTGGAGGCAGAGGGAGGGAGTCAGAGAGACACAGGGTTAGAAAGATGGGGGCTCAGAGAGAAACAGAGAAGGATCAGAGAGAGGAACCGGGTCAGAGAGAGACGGAGGTCAGAGACCCAGAGTCAGAGACGGGCAGTCAGAGAGGGGCGGTTAGGGAGGCGGGGTGAGGCGGCGCTCACGTCCAGCGCAGGTGTGGCCAGCAGCACGTGGGTGGACTGGAGCACATCGGCGGCGTGCAGGCTGTTGTGGTAGGCCACATCCTGGTGGTAGTGGTCCTCCAGAGTCAGCATGTATGTCACCATCGTGTCCACCGGGATGTGGAACTTCTTCAGGAGGCCCCGTTCCTGAGGACAGGTATGGGGAGGCGGCGACCCCCACTAGCCCTTAGCTCCCCGCCCTGAGCCCCTCCCTCACACTGCCCCTCGCCCGGCCCCACTCAGCCCCCCGCCCCCCTACCTGGAATATGGTGTACATGATGCAGCTGAGGGAGCGGCCCCTGGCATAATCTGACACGTGGAAGATGTTCAGGCCCCACTTGTTCAGGTCCTCCAGCTCCTGGAGGAGATGGAGGCCAGACATCAGGAGCCTGTGAGGGCTTAGGTCTGAAGGTAGCGCCTCTATTGCTGACCCCGTGGGTGGCATGCTCAGTAGTATCGAATTTACAGCCCAGGGCCTACTGGGCGGAGAAACAGCAAAGCAACCACAGCGGCTGTTTGTGGAGTGATGATCATCTGCCAGGCACTGCACTAGGCACTTGGTCTCATTTGACAGGGGCAGAGAAGGGATGTGACTTACCCAAGACCCTGTAGCCTCGAGCGAAACTGCTCATGGGGGCCAGGAGGAAGGAAACATGGGCTAATTTTCCACGTCTTCCCAGGATCCAGAACAGTGCCAGCTTAAGAGGATGGGGGCCCAGCAGGGGGCCCAGCAGAGCGCATGGGGGGATGGGGAAGGGGCGAGGGGGGGGACCTAAGGCAGCACGAGCCAGGGTCAGCTCACAGAGGGCTACAGTAAATGTCGGAGGAGTGAGCCACTGAGAGAGCAGCACGTCTACTGTACAAATCAATGCAAGGGCCCCTCGGCTCAAGGTCTCTCGGAAGAGTCAGACGCCAAGCCCAGGTCTGGCCTGCAGTGCACACTGCTGGGGTTCTGCCCAAATCCCCTTCCCCGGCCACTGGCCCACCTCCTCGCTGCTGGGACTGATGCTTCTAAGGCTCACGGCTGCCCCATTCTCCAGAAAACTGCTTTTGCCCCCACAGGAGCTACATGGAGGGGACGATGCCACCCCCGCTGGGCAGCCCCCAGACAGTGATGACACGGGACTACAGAGGCCGGCGCGCTCCCCTCAAGGTGGGCTCCCCTCTGCAGTGCTGTTCACAGCTCCCCGTGAGGCCCAGCTGAGGCCAGGCTCCAACGGAGACCACCTCCTTGCTTAGCTCCTTTCGCCCCTGCTTCCAAGAGTCTCAGAAAGTTCCTGTCATGCCCCTGGCTTTTAGGACAGACCTCCATTAGGACCTGTTTCTGCTCACCGAAGGAAATCCAAAGAGGGTTTTTGCCTTTACAAAAAAAGGTGAAAAGCCAAAGCAGAAAACAGTGCTTGGCCTTTGTTCTGCAGCAGCGGTTACCCAGGCGGCAGCACCCTGAGCAGCGAGCGGCCCTGCCAAGCTCCTTCCCAGGACCGCACGGGCACCTGGGCATCCAGGCGCCCGAGCTGTGAACTGCGTCTGTGAGCACCTGTGCTTTACCTCAGTTCATCCTGTGCAACCATTAGCGAGATGTGTCCTAAGTGTCAGAAGAGCCTGAGAGAGCTTGTAAGGGTGTTACACGTCATGTAAAACTGGATGTAATTAAGTGTTTTGATCATCCTATATAATAAAAGGCTAATATGCAAATTGTCCCCTCGACCGGGAGTTCAACCAGGGGGCAGGGCAGGCCAGCCAATCGCCCGAGGCCCCTCCCCCCGGCTGGTCCCACCCCGATCGGGGCGAACCGGCTGGACCTAACCCTTGCATGAATTCGTGCACTGGGCCTCTCGTAAACCAAATAAAGACACATAAATTAACGGCAACGGCTTCATTTTACACCGTGTGAGTTTACGAAAGGTTTCATAGGAATGCTCTGGGGACCCATCCACCCCAATCCGCATCTCAGGCTCACCCAACACCCAGTCCTTCCCCAGGAAACCCTACCCCTCTCCAGCCCAGCCCCTGCTGGGCCCCCACCCACTTGGGCCAGGAGCTCCTCTTGGTCTGTCTTCACCCCAAAGCGGGGTATGCTGGCGTCAGTCAGGCTGCTGCTGTGCGTCATCTTCTTCACCCCCGTGATCTGAGACATAGGCTGGAACTGTGGCTCCGCGGGTGGGGGCTGCTGGGAGGGTCTCGGCCGAGGTGCCCTTTCTCCATCCCTCATCATGGGCGATGGGATCTCCACTTCATTCTGCTTGTCTGTAGAAGATGGAGGAGAGCAAGCATGGGTCCCCCTCAGAGATCCCCTCATCTGGCCCTCAGCCCCCATCCCATTAGCTTTGGGAAGTTTTGCCCAGGATGGAAGACCCCTTCTGGGTGTCATGCTGTTGGTTACTCATAGCTGGAAACCAGAGGGGAGGTAGGAATTTTTCTGGGAAGTTGGTGGGCTGGGGTGGGGACTTTGGGGCCTGCCAGGAGCTGGGAAGTGGCCCCAGTCCAATCGCAAGGTTTGGCAGGGGGGTGGCATGGAAGTCAGGAAGTGGGGTGGGGATGTTAGAGAGGCTGCCTGCCCTGATTGGAGGTGGCTGGGAAGACAGCTCCATGGTGACGGAGAGTACTGGTGGGGGTGGCCAGTGCTGGGAGGAGGGAGAGAAGGATGGTCTTCCGCTCCATGGACCCCCACCCCTACTGGGTAACACCAGTCTGCCTGGCAGGTAGGCCCTGGAGCCTTTTTCCTGAGCTTTCAAGGGGCCTCCAGAGCCCAGTCAGGGCCACCCATTGTGACCTGCCCCCCCCCCCCCCCCCCCCCCGCCCCAGTCAATGACAGGGCCCTACTGGGGTCATTTGCCTGCCATGCTCCCATTGGCTGGCTCTCAGAACTTGGCACAGCCACATCCCCCCTGGTGGGAGCATTTGAAAATCAGAACCTTCTCTTAAACTTGGGGTGGGGTAGACATCTCCTGACTTTGGGAACCTCTGGTGATAAACTGTGAGGGTGAAATCCCTCGTTTGTGAGGAATGTTCCCAGCTTGGACTCGAGTTCAGAGGGTAGGGTGAACTGGAGATGCCCAGGAGCTTGAGGGTTCCGATAAAGGCGGGGTACTCTGCATTAGGGTGACCCTGAGAGGAAATGCTCCTCAGTTTGGGGAATCTCTTCCGGTTCTTAAGCTTTAGAAGTCTGTTGAGTTTGATTACCTAAAGTTTGGGGATACTATTGAATGTGGGGGAATTTTCAGCCTGAAGGTTTTTTATTTAAAGTTTGGAGGTTGTTTGTGGATTCTTCAGGGCAGAAGTTTCCTTACATTTGAGAGCCCTACTGAGTTTAGACATCTCTCTTGAATTTGGGGGGCTCTTCTTAATTTGGGGGACTCCAAGTTTGCAGATTCTATAGACTTTTGTGGGGCTTTTCAGCCTGGAGGCATTTTCTTATCTTTTTTTTTTTAAAACAAGTATTGGTTGAAGAGAGAGAGGAAGACAGAGAGAGACAGAGAGAGAGAGAGGAACATAGACTTGCCAAGCCCCGCATTCATCGTTCATTAGTTGGCTCCAGCAGGTGCCCAAGTAGGGATCGAGCCCACAAACCCGGTGGCGCATCCGGACAACACTCCAACCTACTGAGCCACCCGGCCAGGGCTCAGCCTGGAGGTATTATCAAGTTTAGGAATTCTATTTGAGTTTGGGGGTTTCTTGGGGTCATGAGTTTCAGAGTTCCATGGGGGTTCCCCTGAGTTTGGGAGAGCTTTTCAGTTGAAATGTGGTGTTCTACAGAAGTTAGGGTCCCACTGGATTTGGGGGCATCATGAGTATGGGAACTCTTGACCATGGTGACTTTGAGCTTTGGAGAGTTGAGTCAGAGTCCACCTTGGGCAAAGGTGGGCAACAGGACCCGAGGTCTGGGGGGGCCCTCCAGCCCAGGTGTGCACCCCTGCGCGGGCTGCCCTTCACTCACCCAGGAACGTGGAGGAGATGTACTCAGAGACCTGGTTTCCTGACCTGCTCATCTCTGACAGGTGTGTGAGCTCCCGGTTTAGCATCCTCTTGAACTAAGGTGAAGGAGGCAAGAAGGAAGGAATGATGGAGTCGAGGAAAAGGGGGGAAGTCAGCCTCGCCCAAGAAACTTCTGAAGACTCCATGAGTGTCTCCTACTTCTCTGTTCAGCCAACAGAGCCCCCAGCAAGCTGCCAGAGGGGAGGGGTCAGCCCTTCCTCTCCTCCAGCTCCAGACGGGAGTCCCCAGGCTTGGGGAGTCCCCAGGCTTGGGGAGACTGGGCATATCTCTCTTTGCTTGAGGAAGTGGGGCTCCCCTGTCCATACTCTCTCCCTCTCCCCCAAGGAGGAGCCAGAGGGGCACCTGTGGGAGGGAGGGGCTCCTAACAGGGAGCCAATGAGGTATCAGGAGAATCCCATTGCCATGGAGATGGGAGTCTCCTTAGCAACTCCCCTTCCAACCAGCTTCTGGGCTTGGGGGAAAGGCGGGGTAGGCTGCGGGCCCCTTAACCCTTGCCTTCCCAGAGCTACTCCTGGCCCCTGTGTCCCCAGACAGGGACCCCACTTCCCGGGAGTCCTGGCCTCCGGCATTCAGCCCAGCTGGGAAGGAGGGAACACAGTTCCCAAGTTCTGGGCGAAGAGAAGGCTTGTCTGGAGCAGGGGAGAATGGTGAGCTTAGGAAGCCCTAGTTCGTCACCCGGCAGAGGGGTTTCCCCATCATCGCCCCCTCTCCCCTGGCCCCAGGAGGCGGACAGATGCACAGATGAAGGTAATACACCCAGCGCTGGGCTTGGGGGCCTCTCCTGGCGCCCCCATGCTAGTTCACACAGCATCTGCGGTGACATTGTGCAAGGAGGAGAAAGGGCAACAGCTCCCCACCCCCCAGCTGCCAAAGCACCCCAAAAGCAGAAGCTTACAGTGTCCAGAGATGCAAGAGGGACACTGGGCAGGAAGGGTAAGTCTAAGTGCCCACCCTGGACGGGCCCTTACTCCACCCAGTGCTGCCCAGAGACCCTGGGCACACGTAAAGAGAGAGACACACACACACACGCACACGCACACGCAAGATGGACCCACAAAGTCACAAACCGCACACAGATTTCTGTTACACAGTTCACACAGCCGCAGACACATAAATCAAGGGGCATACACAATAAGGTGGTCACTGACACTCGAGGTCACATGCCCCAGAAAAATCATGTAGTTCTGGACTCACGAACACGTCCAACACACAATGCAATCGAAGCCATAGGATCTCAGACAGGGCCACACCATGCCCCAGGCAAACAAGCATATAGTTAGGTGGCCCCACACCACTGCAGACACACATGTGTGTACCGACAGTCACACCCAGAGAGATCCACACCCCCAGCCACCCACCATCTACACCCAGCCCTGGGCCACGCACAGAGACACAGTCATAAGCATTCATTTCCAGGCCACACACGTGCACAGCTGAACACACAAGTTCAGACCAGAGGTTGATGGGTCAGAGGTCAGAGGGTCTCCTGCCCATCCACCACCCCGAGGCCCCCTACCTGGTCCCACCAGCCCACCAGCCATGGCTTGGAGCAGGTCTCGCAGAAGAAATCCACCAAGGGCATCTTGGAGTCTAGCCCCGCTCAGGGCTGCCGCGCACAGAGGCAGAGCTTGGGGAGTCCTGGGGTTGGCAGCCACAGTCTGGGGTGGGGGTGGGGTGCTGGGCAGGTGGGCAGTGGAAGGGGGAGCCGCGGAGGGGCCTGGGCCGGCCCAGCAGGGCTGGGGGCTCCCTTCCCCTCCGCGCTCCCGGTGGCAGCCCTGGTTACATGGTCTGCAGGCCCCTGGCCTCTGCGGGCCCCCCCACAGCAGTGGTCGGAGGTGGCCAGGGACCCCTGCCCATGGAGGGGCAGGGCGAGGGTCCCAGGAGGCGGCTTCAGAGGCTCTGGGCTCCGTTTGTGCGCCTGTGTGTGCGTGCTCACTGCAGCACTGGCAGGCTGCATGTGATGTCAGCTGGTGCCGGGGGTGGGGGGGCGTTAAAGGGGCATCAGAGTCCACAGGCCTCGGCCAGGCCCAAGTGGGGCTGCCGGGATAGGCAGGGCAGCACACACCCCCTCGAGGACATGCCTCCTCCATGGACACACCCAGAGACAAAGACACACACCCAGATGCTCCCCACACTCACAGACATACGAACACTCTGAGACACACCTTCCACGCTAACACAGCCAGACACTGGGCACACTGAACACAACAGATATCCAGATGCTTTTAGGGCTACCCTGACCACACGCGCGCGCACACACACACACACACACACACACACACACAGTCACAACTCCGACGGGTAACACCTTTGTAGGTATTATAGCTGAGTCCATAGAGATACAAATGCTTTCAGACACGCCCCTTCCAAGAACACAGACCCACACGCAGACATGGAGACACACGCCAAGGGACAAACACTCAGATACGGGACACACTTATAAACACACAACACACCCACAGACACTTTCAAACAAACACAAATACCCACGTGCCCTTAGACACAAACACACCCTGACAAATCCATATGGGAGTACACACACACACACACACACACACTCACAGATTCACATTCAGAGATACAGTCACATGCTCAGATGCTCAACGCACACTCAGGGACACAACCACCCTCAGGCTTATATGTTCCCAGACACAACACCCACAGGCATATGCACGGCCCCCAACAGACACCCCCACCTGCACACTCATTTCCTGAGCTGCTTCCTCCCACAGGGGCAGCCACTGAGCCTCACACTCCAGGAAACATCAGGCACTCGGCCTACTTTCTGAACGGTGACCCTGGAGCTGTGCAGGGCACGGTCTGCCCAGCTGTCCATGGAAGCCTTGCACCCTCCCCTGCAGCCCTGCAAGCACACGCATACGTGTGCAAGCACACACGGAGAGTCACAAACACATGGAGACACACACCACAAATGTGGACCAACTCACACCTGTAGACGTACACATCCCCCCGGCACAGACCCACACACAACCCTGCATAATCGCCTGTACACACCCACACCATCCATAGGTACACATCTGTACTCCACGCCTGGCCGTCTCTCGGAACACACCCCCACCCCACACTGCTAATGTGCAGCCAACAAATGGACAGCCACACAGACTCAGCCACAGGTACATACCCATAGATGATACAAGCACACCACCCGCCCCAAGAAACATGATTGTCTATGGACAGATGTACACACACACACACACACACACACACACCAGGATGGACGGACGGACACACACACACACACACACCAGGCTCCCTAGGTCCTGAGGAGAAGTAAAGATCTATGGAAGCTGTGCCCCCACCCTATAGCCCTAGCCACAGATTGGCCCTGCCCACTGGGACCGCCCTGTTGCTAGCCCCGCCCCAGGCCCCGCCCCACAGGCGCTGCCTAGGAATAGCCCCACCCACAGCCCCATCCAGGGACTGGCCCCGCCCTGCCGGCCAGCGAGGTCCACACGCGAGGTCCACACACCTTGTGGGACGCCATCTCGCTGACTGAGCGGTAGGTCTGCATGGTCTCTAGCTGCTCCAGACACCAGTCCAGCTCCTCCAACGTCTCGCGGGCCAACTGCTGACATGTCTCCTCTGGAGAAGGGGCAGCAGGGTGGTGACGGGGAGGACCCACAGGCAGGCCCTCACAGGCCCCGGCCCGTGGCGATGGGGTCTGCCAGGTGAGTGGGGTGTTGGGAAAGGGGATGAATCAACTACCCGGGGCCAGGGACCCCCACTGGGGCAGTAAGAGGGGCCCTTTGCCACTACCCCTGGGCTTACCTGACAGTGTGGCCTTGCAGACTGGGGTTGGGCCACTCAGTGGGGATCGCCTGCAAACAAATGGGGCTCCAGTGCCGGCCTGGGCCCCTCCAGATCCCTGCCCCCCTCTCCTTGAGTGGTGCCGATACTCCTTTTGCTGAGCGCTCAGTGTGTCCCAGGCACGCTGCCATGTACTCTGCAGCCTCTCACAGAACCCACAAGAACCCATTTTACAGACAGGGAAACTGAGGTTCAAGGAGGTGAACCAGCTTCCTGGAGACTACATGGCTGATCAGCAGTAGGGTCAGGTCTTGTGTCTCAAAGTTTCTGCTTCCTTCCATGTGCGCCGCCCCCTACCCCCCCCCCCCCCCCCGCCCTCCAGAACTCCCAGAGGGACCAGCTGCTCTCAGCCATACCCCTGACCCAAAAGAAGAAGTACTCCTATTCAGTGAGCACTTACTATGTGCTGGGCAATGTTTTAGCACTTTCCATTTATCATCTTCTAGACTCCTCACAGCAGCCATCTAGTGGGGCAGCTATTAAATTCTTATTTTATGAAGGGGGAGCAGATACACCACAGGATCCTATCTGTCCAGCAAGTTAGCATAAGGGCAGGAGTGGCCCCGAGGCTGGGGTGGCTGGCCGCCTATGGTCTCACCACTCTATATCTGGGACCCTCAGTCTTTATGTATAAAGGTTTCTGTGTCTTAGGCATTTGAATGACAAGAGTTTACTGGCTCAGAGGGAGCTGTTATCTGAACGGACCGATCAAGTGCCTGCTTGAGGTCACAAGGCAGAACCCAGCGTGGACCCAGCTGTGCTTAGTTCACAATCGTGGCTGTTGGGGCCCAGCTCAACTTACTTGTTGCTGGGAATGGGCACGTTGGTCAGCAGTGAGAAGTTGCTGCGAACACTCCGGAGACTGGCCAGCACCTGGGATCAGGACGGCAGTGAGGAGAGGGCACTGGGCCCCTGTCCCCAAGTGTGGGGGAGGTTTGGAGTCCTTCCCCTCCTTGGGGGCGAGGTCTCACCTGGGCAAATGGCGTCACGATGAGGTCCTCAGCATACCTGTAATCCAGGACAGGGGTAGGTCAGGGGTCTGCACAGTGGGACGCCAAAGGGCCTGGGAGTGGAGGGGGTGGGGCGCCCGAGAAGCAACTCTCCTGGGGGACACTCTGTGGGGGCCGGGCCCAGGGAGGCTGGTGGGCAGGGAGGGGCTCCTGGGGAGGGGGGCACTCACACCTCACAAGAGTGAACACGCTGCAGGGGCCAGTCCTGAAGGAAATGGTGGTAGGGAGAAGGGCTCAGGTGGGTGGGGGCAGGTGAGAGCAGTGGGTGGGGAGGGGAGTAGGGCAGAAAGGGGCCTGGGGGGTGTGTGAGATGGGTACCTTGGTGGGTAGGGCAAGGGCTGGAGGATCCAATGAGAGGGGAGGGGGCTGAGCAGGTCTGGGGGTGCTCACACCTCCGTAGGTGGCAATGATGAGGGAAGCTGGCTTAGGAAAGGCTGGCAGAGGGGAGGAGAGGCTGCTCAGCAGAAGTGGACTCTGGGAGGAAGCAGTGGCGGCGGTGGGGGCTCAACTGGGGGGTCTTCCCTCCTTGCTACAGACACAGGCTGAGGTGGGGCCCGGCCCCAGCAGCCAATGGGCAAGTTGGGTAGGTGGGGACTGTATGGACAAGGATAGGGGCTTGAACTGAGGGAGGGGCTAGGTGTGGCTGGGTGGGGGGCAGAGATAGGATGGGCACTCACGGGATGGACATGCTATAAGGGACTGAGCTCCTGACAGGGGGAAGGGGGCGTTGGCCCTCCCCTGGGGGCTCAGGCAGCGTGCGCCCTCCTTGCTGGGAAGGGCAGCCTGTGAAAGGGCCAGGCCTGGAGTAGCTGGCAGGTGGGGTTAGGGAGTGCTCACGCCTCGCTGGTGACTGAAGAGTTCCGGGACATGGTCTTGGGCGACATGTCATAGTCGCTGTCGGAGCGGTAGAGGAAAGATTCGCGGCGCTGGCTGGCGGCCACCCCGGCGTGCAGCACCAGGCCCGGGCTCGCCTGCGAGTCCAGCGGGCTGCGGCCGGGGGACGGTGCAGGCCCATTCTCCGCCTCGAAGCTGCAGGGGCGGCAGGAACCGGGGTCAGGGGGGCTGAGATGGCACTGGGGAGGTTAAGAGGAACGGGATTGGGGGGGGAGGCAAGGGAATTCCTGGCAGAAATGAGGGACAGGTAGAGGACACAAAAGAGAGAGACACCCCAAAAGAGATGGCAGACAAAGAATCGCAGGGATCAACAGTACTGAGAGCCTCTGTGAGCCGGGCTCTGTGGTAGGTGCTGGGGTACATGACCTGTGCTTCACGGGGATGACATGGGAGGGCTGGACTTTCAACACGTTGGCCTAGTAACACCGCACACGCCAAGTGGTGGGGTTCTCATTGACCCTGCCTTTCCCACTGTACCTCACATCAGCCTCACTGCTCAAATCTATGCAGAATTGGCCCACTTCTCAGCCCGTCTGTGGCCAGCCCCCCTCATCACTTGCCTGGACCAGTGCATTCTCCTCTGCCCTGGTCCCTGGCTCCTGTCTCTGCCCCTCGGTCTGTTTCCCCCTCAGCAGCCAGAGGGAGCCTGTAAACACTTGAGTCAGGCCCTATCCCTCCTCTGCTCAGAACCTTCTATGGCCCCCAACTCACTCAGAGGAAAAGCCAGAGTCCTCGCTGCAGCCCCCCAGGCCCTGCCTGGGACCTCCCTCTCTACCCTTTACCCATTGTGCTCCAGCCGCAGTGGCCTCCTCGCTGTTCCCTAAACATTCCGTACACATCCCTGCCTCAGGGCCTTTGCACCGGCTGTTTATCCTGCCCAGATCCCAGTGGCTCCCCTTCCACCTTCAGGCCTCAGCTCAAAAGTCGACTCCTCAGGAAGGCCTCCCCTCACCAACCGCTGTCATAATATTTCATATTTCCCTTTCTTAAAAGCATACTGCTGCCCGGCTGGCATGGCTCAGTGGTTGAGCGTCAACCTATGAACCAAGAGGTCACAGTCCAATTCCCGGTCAGGGTACATGCCCAGGTTTCGGGCTCAGTCCCCAGGGTGGGGCGTGAGGGAGGCAGCCAAAGCCAATTAATGACTCTCTCTCATCAATGATGTTTCTCTCTCTCTCTGTCTCCCTGACCTTTCCTCTCTGAAATCAATAAAAATATATTTTTAAAAATACTAGTTATTGGACATAATGTATATTTTGCTTCTTTACTGTTTGCATTGTCTTCAAGAAGTAAGTACTGCAGATCAGGGATTTTTGCCTGCTTTGTTTACTGCTGTACCCCTTGGGCCAAGAACATCGCCTGGCACATAATGGACGCCCAGTCCATGTTTACTGAATGGATAATAAAATGTATGAATGAATGAATAAGTGAATCCATGGACTGGGTTGTGGCCTACAGAGAATTAAAAGTAGGTGGATGACGGCACGTTACTGGAGAGCTGATTTTAGCTGTTGTGGTTGACGCAGGCCAGCCTGACAAGGGGACATCCGAGCAGGGCCAGAAAGACAAGGAGGAAGGAAGACCATGGTCAGAAGGAAGCACTCCAGGGTGAGGGGACAGCAAGGTCAAAGACCTGGGGCAGGATTCAGTGTTGTTGGAAGGCCAGCGAGGAAGCTGGGGCGGCTGGAATGGAGATGCAGACCAGGACAGAGACACGGCTACAGGGAAGGGAGACAAGGGGACCCCGGCCTGGGGCACTGGCAAGACCGAGACCCTCGGGATGAGGCAGGGGGACGCTGGCCATGCCACTGCCCAGCTGTATGACTTGAAGAAAGTGACTGAATTTGTTTCCTTGTCCGCACGATGAACAAAACCACCACGTCCTCAGGGCATCCAGGTGACCAGCATTAACGCAGGTGAAATGCTCGGAACCATGTCTGGCACAGAGTTCAAAAAACATTGGCAATTCCAAGTCTGTCAGCCCCACATGTGCCACTTGGGGAGCGGCCTCAGCAAGGCAGGCGATGCGGAGAACTGAGTATGAGAATGGGAGCTGTGTGCCCGCAACATGCGCTGTGGCTTTGGGAAGGCCTCTGACCTCTGGTCACTTACTCCACTGCTACAGTGAGGGGCTTAGGCTAGTGGGCAGATTTCATGCTATGCTGGGGGCGGGGGGGTCCAAAGGAGAAGGGGGAGGAAACGGGGCCCTCCATTTTCCGGCCCTACCTACTGCAAACCAGCCTAAGATCATTATTTGAATAGTCCCTCTGCTAAGAAACAAGTCTGAAATCTCTTAGAACCGGACAACGGCAACCATATTATGGAGCCTTTTTTCTAGGCTACTTCTGCGGTGCGGAGAGTGGAGAGGGAATTCACTGACTCCTTCTTACAGATGAAAACCAGGGTCAGAGAGGAGAATGATTGGCCCTGAGTCACACAGCAAGACCATGATGGGGTCAGAATTCGAAACCAGAAGTCTTGTGACTCCTTCCAGTGGTTCTCAACCTTCCTGGTGCCGCGACCCTTTAATACAGTTCCTCATGTGGTGGTGACCCCCAACCATAAAATTATTTTCGTTGCTACTTCATAACTGTAAATTTGCTACTGTTATGAATTATAATGTAAATATCTGATCTGCAGGATGTTTTTCCAGGGGTCGTGGCCCACAGGTTGAGAACCGCTGCGTTAGCTGCTGCCCTCTGCCTACCTGACCCCATCAGAGCATATTATTCTCATTAAATAGAATGTTCAGCCCTGGCTGGTTTGGCTCAGTGGACGGAGTGTCGGCCTGTGGACTGAAGGGTCCCCAGTTCAATTCTGGTCAAGGGCACATGCCCGGGGTTGCAGACTCAATCCCCAGTAGGGGGCGTGCAGAAGGCAGCCGATCAATGATTCTTTCTCATCATTGATGTTTCTATCTCTCTCTCCCTCTCCTTTCCTCTCTGAAATCAATAAAAAAATATTTAAAAATAATAATAGCCCTAACCGGTTTGGCTCAGTGGATAGAGTGTTGGCCTGTGGACTGAAGGGTCCCAGGTTCGATTCTGGTCAAGGGCATGTACCTTGGTTGCGGGCACATCCCCAGTGGGGAGTGTGCAGGAAGGAGCTGATTGGTGTTTCTCTCTCATCAATGTTTCTAACTCTCTATCCCTCTCCCTTCCTCTCTGTAAAAAATCAATAAAATATATTTTAAAAAATAAATAATAATAATAAATAAGATGTTCAAAAGGGCCAGACAATCAACACAAGAAGCAGAGTGGGGCTGGAGCCCTGAGTAATCAGATATTCCAATTTTAGTAAAGAAACCTGAAATATTAAAGTACAAAATTCAAACTTTTTAAAAAGCACACTTCAGCAATCACCCGAGCCACTTTCAAGGGCCGTTTTTCCAGGCAGCCAGCCTTGGCCTGTGCTACAGACTTTCCTAAACACTCTCAAAGGTCCAGAGGCCCCGGGCAGGTGGCAGCTGGCCTCAGCTTGCCCTGTGCCTCCTGCTGAGCACCCGGGCCGGCACTGGTGGTAGCTGGCATCAGTTTGTAGCGTGACCCCTCCCAAGCAGCTCCCAGACCAAAAGAGGCAGCTACCAACCTCGGATATTTTGGAAGCTCCTGCCTAGGCAGCCGCTGACCCGGGGTTGCACCGGAGGCCCTCCAAAGAGGCCCCAGCACCAACACACTCAGTGGCTGCCTCCAGACCACAACAGAGCATCCCTGATTATCTCCACAAAAGGCCCCCCCAAAGGGTAGTCTCAGCAAGCACCAGAGCCCTTTTGGGGTGAATCCTGCTCTGTGGTTGTGGCCAGTCAGCCTGAGGGTCAACCCTAGTCAGACAACCCTACTCAGACATGCCTACTCAACTATAACAGGAGGGCACACTCATCCCACACAAGGGCACTCCTAGAGCACCCAGCTCAGGTGACCAGGCAGACTGCTCCACTGGGCCCTACAGGTCACCTATTACATAAGGCCACCTGCCAAGACTGGGAGACATAGAAAATCTACCTAAGACATAGAAACAACACAGAGAGGCAGCCAAAACGAGGAGACAAAGCAACATGCCTCAAAGGAAAGAACAGGAGAAAATTCCAGAAAAAGAATGAAATGGAGGCCACTAAGCTACCAGATGCAGAGTTCAAAACACTGGCTATAAGGATGCTCAAAGAACTTAGAGGAAGAATAGATGAACTAAGTGAGAACTTCAACAAGGAGATAGTATAAATAGCATAAATAAGGTCATAGACACCATAAAAAAGAACCAGTCAAAAATGAAAAGTACACTAGAAGGAATCAAATAGCAGGTTACATGAAGAAGAGGATCGAGTCAGTGATTTGGAAGAAAAAATAGAGAAAAACACCCAATTGAAACAGCAAAAAGAAAACCGAATTTTAAAAAATGAGGACAGTTTAAGAGACCTCTGGGACAACATCAACCATTTCAACATTCACATCACAAGGGTACCAGGAGGAGAAAAGAGAGCAAGGAATTGAAAACCTGTTTGAAGAAATTACAGCTTAAAACTTCCCTAACTTGGCGAAGGAAATAGACATATAAGTCTAGGAAGCTCAGAGAGTCTCAAACAAAATAAGCCCAAAGAGGCCCATAACAAGATACATAATAATCAAAGTGCCAAAGTTTAAAGACAAAGATAGAATCTTAAAAGCAGCAAGAGAAGGGCAGTTACCTACAGGGGAGCTCTCATAAGACTCTCAGCTGAGCCCTGGCTGGGTAGCTCAGTTGGTTAGAGCATCCTCCCGATACACCAAGGTTCCAGGTTCAATCCCTGGTCAGGGCACATACAAGAATCAACAAATGCATGCACAAATAAGTGGGACAGTGAATCGCTGCTTCTTCCTCTGCCTCTCTCTCACTAAAATAAATAAATTTTAAAAGTGAAAAAAGAAAAGGCTGCCAGCTGATTTCTCAACAGAAACTTTGCAGGCAAGAAGGGATTACCACACAATATTCAAAGTGATGAAAAGCAAGGACCTACAGCCAAGACTACTCTATCCATAAAGGCTATCCTTTAGAATTGAAATAGGAGATAAAGAGCTCCCCACACAAGAAAAAGGTAGAGGAGTTATCACTACCAATCAGTATTAGAAGAAATGTTAAAGGTACTTCTTTAAGAAGAAAAA